AATTATTTTGATTTAATTTTTTTTCTCAATACGATTCAGTAAAAATACACATAGCGACTTTAAATTTCAATAGAAATCTCATATTTGTTTTTTCTAGATGTGAAAACATTTTTAAAATTGTTGAGCTATTTATAGACATTTTAATTTTTCGACTAAACAAGAAGAGGTCCATTGTAAGTCATACTTACCAGCTAAAAAAAAAAAAAAACTAAGTGTAATATAGTATTTTGGATTCCGAGCGTAATGAGGGAGCTATTGGTTTTACCAAGATGTTTATTTTTTTTTCTTTGTTTAAGTCTGTGGACACGTTTTTTCTAGTAAACTTGCTCTGATTTTTACGTGAAAGCTCAATTTTTTGAAATGGTTCATTAGAGATATCATTTTTTTTATTTTTGACGTCTTTTTAAAATAAAAGCATTTAAGTGAGCAAAAAAATGTAGAAAAACATACAATTTCACGATTTAATTATTTTATAAAAACACGGACGACGTTTTCTACCAGAAAAAAAATGATTTAATCGAAAAATCACAAGACTTTTTTTATTTACTTTCATACGGTATCATCGCCAAAACTTTTAAGTCCCTTTTGAGCTTTAAAGAAATTTTAATTTTGGGAGGTTTTTTTGCTGTTATTCGGTTTTAAATACACGTAAAGATTTAAAACTTGATAAAAATAATTATTTTGGATATTCCTAGACGTGGTCATATTTCCAAAATCGTTGGTCAAATTTTTTTTTATAAGCGTTTTAAAATTAAATTTAAATGAAAATCGCAAAAAAAAAATTACGGCACTTCAAATTATATACTACCGAACTGCACTCGGAATCGTCTTTGTCAGCAATGGTTCATCGTTGCTTACAGATATAAATGAAATAACCTTATGTATTCTACCTTCCCAAATTCTCACCTAAAACAGTGGCTGCTTTCATTCTCAGTATCAGTTATTTTTTTACTTTGTTTTTTGTTTTCGTTGTAATCTAGTGAAAAACGATGATTGACGCCTTCACTACATTTTTACTATTTTTATACGTGTGCATATTTTAGATGTGAATCTATTAAAGCTGATATCTATTGCTATTATATGAAATTTTATTTTTGTTTTATGTGAATTACAATTTTTTATCCGCGTTGTAGTGTTAAATTAATAATAGCATATTTTGTTGAAACCATAAGAATAAAAATATTGTAGTTAGTAATTTCGTTTGTTTAATTACACATTAATAACATCAATACAGTATTTAATTTAAATTTATTAAGCAAATGTTTTTCCGAACTTCATTAAGAATATTTTTCGTTTTCATTGTCTTTAATACACTAAACAGCGTATTGTAAACTAAATTACTATTATTATACCCAACCTTCTAAAATTGCTACTATTTTTTTCTTCTTATAGACTCCACCTTACCAGGAGGGCCACGTTAGCATTGCTTCCTCTGGCTCACCTAACACTCCTTAATGGGGCCGTCTTTCAGAGGGCGAATCAAAACCTATTAGGCAGGTAGGCAATATCGTGTGTCCGAAGATTTTTGTTTTGTATTTTTTGACAATGCTGAGCAAATAAATGAATAATATTAATTAATTTGAGTTAAGATTATTAAAAAATAATTAACGAGTTAGCACGTTAAAATGAAATTCTTAAATCCATTAAGGCTATGTTAAAAATTAGTTTGAAAATAGAAATAACATATTCACTTAAGTTTATTTTTTTTTTTACAAATTTTAGTATTGTAGTAAAAGTTATTTTATCTGGATTTTTGATTGTTATTTTTTTTTTTTTATGAGAATAATCAATATTAAACACGAGAATATTATTCCGGGAATAATACAATTATGTATTATTCTGGGAATAATACAATTATACCCATTTATTTATTGATTCTGAACTACGTTATTGAGTAAAAAAAAATATACCTATTCTATACGCAAATGGTACCAATTCAAATTACAATTAGTGTTTAAATTACAAATTTAATTTCATGTAAATTAAAAACAATTAAAAGTAACCTAATGCGATGCAATTTAACTCGTCATTTATTAAATGAATGTATATAAAATAAATCGAGTTAAAAGTTAAGTTAAAACGTACTTAATTTTTAGTTTAACTATTAATTGTTTAGTTAATAAATACGCAGCTATTTGGTAATTCTTTGATTCAGATGAGGGTGGCTGAAAACTTTATTTTATTTTATAATACATCACTTATTTATTTAACCGTTTGGATTTTAATCGGTTCAATATAATTAAAGCATAAATTATTATTGTACTCCATCAACGCTTGTGTATCTATTATAATAATAATAATAATAATAATATCGTTGACTCCTAACGAAGAAAATGACTTTTAATTTTAGTGGATTTTTTTTTCCGCTACAGTCTTTCGAAATTAAACGTTAAAATTAATCATCGGTCCCGAGCACGTATTTAGAACATTAGTCATCCGAGGGCTTTTTTTTTTTTAAATTTTTTTTTTTTTTTCATATTTTCATTATTATTATATACATACAGAAGAAACGATGTAGTTCAGTATGACGACGATGGCGGTGCAGTGCCGAATGATAGGGACATTGAAGCGAACGTGACTAGAATTTTCCGCACGGATAAAACAATTTTCTAAATTATTATTATTCATTTTTTTTGTTTTCCTTTTTTTTTTTTTTTTAATCTGGTATTTATGTTAAGTATTTTTGTAGATAAACGGGAGTAAAAGAAAAAAAGATCGAAAAACAAAAACAAAAAAAAATTGTTAACAGACAATGAATTGAATATTCGAAAAAAATGTACACACACACACACGCACGTATTAAAAATAACGGAAAATTAAAACGCTCCTTTAAATCATAAACACGGGTTAGACAACGCTGTTGTTCCCGTTGTAATATAATGTAAATCGGATCCGTCAAACCCTCAGCAAATTTTTGCGGTTAGGTATCATCGTGTAAATCTAATAACCAATGGTTCGTCTATTCAATTACCCTCGCTTATAACTGTACGACAACTGTAATATTATATCGAACGAGATAGATAGAAACAACGGTTAGGAGATAATACATATTGTAGTAGTTGTGCCGAAGTTTTGACTTGGCGTTGCTCGTCACACAAAAAAGACAATCCAACAGTGGAGTAACCCGTTTCTACGAAAACTAGGTATTGTTCGTTGTGCGCGTCTTCGCGACGACTAAACTTACAGCCCGTGCACGGACAACGCTATTATATTATATTTTTTTGTTTTAAATTTTATATTATTTCATCCAAATTACCGAGGTTGGATTAGGCGGATATTAGGTCTATGCGCGTGTTATTAAACTCACCTGGTCGAAAACAAATAAAATCCGACTTGGTGCTTACCTATAACTATATATTGTTACGATCGACGATTTCGTATATTACGTATATTGAACCTATATATTAGGCGTAATCTTAACGCGATAGAAATAATTCCGAAACCCGACTGCGATATTAAAAACGTTCGGTTCGGGATTTTCAGAAACTTTTAGGAAGTTTGAACGCGGTGAGTGCGTCCACACCACCGCCGGTACGAAGTTTAATCGAATTTATTTTTTAATTTCCGATAACAACGGTGTAGCGATGGTTATAGCAAGCCGTCGCTGTCTTAGGCTCTTAGCAATAAATTATTTCAAAGTATATTGACACAATATTTAACTTTGTAATTTACTACGGCGCGCGGCGTGGGCATCGTCCCGCTATCGTTTGCATATATTAATATCAAGTCTCGCATTTTATCATAATGTAAAAATCAAATTAAAACGCGACTTTAGTGGCGAAATTTTGACACGGCCCTCGAAAGATACGTGCGATGATATCTGTAACGGACCCGGAATCGGTATAGTTGCGAGGTTGGGCTACATTACGATATAACTAACATGCAGGTGTGCCAACAACGTTAACGAAAACAAAATACTACCACTGCGGAATATCTATGGAATTTTTTTAAAAAAAAAAAAATCATCAATTATACCACGAAATAATGACGTCTTTTGGCTCAAATTATTAATTTAGAACGGATTGTAGGGCCTGACCAAACGATGCTACGCGTGCGTGAGTATTTGTTCCACTACAGCATCAAAACAAGTGGCGTAGAAATCATTCGCAAAATCCGGGACATTAAAGTCTCTATCACCGTTGTCACGAAACCGCATTTTTATCACTGTTTCCTATTGCTATTTGAATCACTATTTGATGACAAAATACCGATAAATAGGACCCATTATTGATAATCGTATTTAAAATTTAAAATTATAGTTATCAATAGTAGTTTTTTTTAAAGGCCCTGTACTCCATTAAAAATTGAAAACTAAATGTTTGATATCGAAAGAAAATCAGAAAAACTAGGAGCGTAAACCGGTAAAACGGCGTGCCTAAATAAAGAAAATTGTGTTGGTAATATCGAATAAATGATATTCAGGCGCCTTTTTAAAATATAATTAAATCAATATTGATTTTTTAAAAGGGCGTGTACCACATTCAATGCATGAATACTTTGTGTACAAGGTATTATGTGTAGGATTAATTTTATTTTTTTTCCACGATAAACATCATCAATAACTATTTTGCCGGTTTTATGTAAAATAGTTTTTATTTGCTTCCTGAAAAAAATGAAATTTGATAGACGCCCGTTTTAACAAAACACGGTCGATATTATGAAATCCAAGTATGGTTCTCATTACGCATATTTTTCGCTATTAATGAAGTTCATTATTGGATCTCGGTAAACCGACGGCTCTTAACGTGTTAAATACGTGGTTAGTATATTAGTCTAAAATGAATTATGTTGCGATACTTGCTGAATTTAATGATACTCATTTTCTCCATGATTTCCAAACGGAAATGCATTAAACATTTAAAAACAATTGTGCGAAAATAGGGGAAACCGTCGGTTAATCGGAAGAACGTTTCAAATAAACAACCACTGCGTTTTTCGTAACACTGCGATACACTGCGCGAGTGTAACAATTTAATTCTTATTTTAATACGAAAATCTGGTATTGCAGTAATTATTATTGTTACATGAATCTACAGATGGTATCTTGTCCTCCGCTATACTTGCTTGCGTGTGTGCGTATACTATATCGTCGAAATTATTATAGTAATATTATTATCGTCATCGTTTTGCGAGTTTTGAAATACGAATATCATACCCGATTTGATTTTATTCGCACGCGCGCGAGCGATCGGAAATAATTGGAAATAATTTCGCGGCTAATTTCCCGAGATTGCATTAGACGGCGGCGAGAAAACGGATCTTAGAACTGCGATATTCCACGACAAATGTGAATTCAATTAATTTCGAATCGGAGGGAAACCCATTAATCAACGTCACGTGTTCACGTGCGTAAAAAAAAAAAAAAAACTACAAAATATATATTAACAATAAACTATAGAAACGTTGAGCGACCGATTGTTGTTCTTCGCGGTAACGACGTATTTTTATGATTTCTGAGTTACCCGTGTGTGTGCGGTTTTATTATTATTATTATTAGTTTTTTTTTTTAATTTTCTAGTTCTTTCCTAACATTCTTAGCACGTATCAATCGAACGAACGAGATATTTTATATTTTCAAAACTGTTATACTGCACAATCGACATACGGTCGAATACAATACGGTTCCAAGCCGGCGGAAAAATCTATCGAGTTATCAAAAAGCGTTCCCAAATTTTTGAAAAGTACGAAATATCATTAAGGTGAAAAAAAACCAATTACCGACAATTACGGAAACACTACTAAATGGTGCGTTATAGAAAATAAAAAAAAAAATGTTCTGTTGGGTTTTTTCTGATCGGTCGATACTTCAAAAACCATCCGAGTTTGTATTACCTATCATAGTTAATCATGCTAGTTGATCAAAACGACTCTAATCATCGGATTTGTGTGGCTATATACAATAATTCTTGACTGTTTTTGTCCGATAGTTGAACAAAACGATTATTTATTTTTCAATTTGTACGTACTCTTTAAAAGGTCACACGAGTAAAAAGATCAATTTTATACTTTTGACTTTTTTTTACGAGTTTTTTTTTTATTATTATGTTTTCGAGTTCGTGCAATAGCTCAAAACGTGATTCGTATGATTTACTGCGTAGTAAATCCAATTTATTTAAAATTAAAATACATCGTGTTTAAATAATCCAAAATCCAATTGGATTTACGATTTATCGAAAGTTTATACTGCAGATGCAAAACACGTATTAAACTTATTATAGATCATAAGCCGATAAGTCCTAAGAATATTTTCGGATAGGCTTGTAAATATTACAGGGACGTGCGGCCGTTGTATTCAAAATATATGGCCATATTGATATTCAAGGAACCGATCATTTTTTTTTCGAATTACCAAGGGTTTCAAATTATCGAAAGTTTGATTAACACTATTAATAGTCGACTGTGTAATACAATGATAACAAATAACTATGTACAACTATACATTGGTGGAAAAATTAATTTTTTTTTTCTAAATTAATAAAACCATTATCTATAGTAATATATTTTATCGTCTGTCTATGGGATGACCGGAAAAAAATTTCAGCGCGATTGATAGCATAAAACTTCGGACGCACATTATTATGATTGAATGATTGAATGGAGCCGTTAAAAGTTCGCATGGATTTTATGTGTAGGTACCCGTTTTATCGTATTTCACATTGTTACTATTATTATTGCCGTCTCTCCGTTTTCGGTTTTATATTCAGCGGTCGATTTTTGTACACGAGTGCGATCCAATCAATTATGATAGAATACGATATATATATATATATATATTGTTTCCAAAAGTCGAGGGCCGGGTAAACAAAAAAAGCAAAACGGAAAAATGTTTCGCTAAAACATTTAGCTTTATCAATATTCTCGCGTTTATTGTGAAACGGACGACCATGAGGCATAATTGATGTCTATAAAGATTTATCAGTTTATAGATGTGCTATGATCGAGTTTTGGTTTGCGGATGTATTAAGGCTCAGTCTGCGAATAATTGGGTTTTGATATAATATAGATCTAAATAAAAAAAAGAAAGATAAGATAATGAGGACGGTTGCAGCCACCGGTGTAGGTTGGAAGTTAGAAACGTAGGATATAGATGGGAATTTAATATTTATCTATAAGCAACGATAAACCATTGTTTACGAAAAAACGATTCTGAGTGGATAGTTCAGTTGATAGTGATGCTTTGTCAACATTATATGTGTCATTTTGTAGTAAAATAATTAAGTAGGTTTTATATATTTTTTTTTAATGAAATTTTTTTAATGTTGTACCAATATTCACAGTTTTCCTACGTTTGTACCCATTTCCCATGTTTAATCCCAGTTTTACACATTTCTTGAAAAACACTTTGGAAAAAAAGGACCTCTTTAGTAAAATTTTCTTTTAGAAATATTGTTATCCTCAAAATTTGGAGCAAAATTTCTTGTGGGAAAGTTGATTTAAGAAAAAAAAGATTACATTTATAATATTTCATAAATTTTCACGTTGTTTTCGGTTTTTCCCATTTTATGAGAAAATTCTTGAGAAAAATCGAAAAATACTAAAGTACTTCTCCACACAAATTTCCTGTCAGAAAAAGTGCTACACGTAGCAAGTGTTCCAGTAGACAAATTGCGCACACATAAAAGAAAAAATAAAATAGCTAATACTGGGAATGGGAGTGGCCACTGTTGTAAGTGAGAAGTTGAGGAGGTAATATACATGGGATTATGTCATTTATATCTGTAATCAACGATAAACCATTGCTTGATGAGAAAAGATTCCGAGTTCAGTTCGGTAATACATAATTTAAAGTGCCGTAATTTTTTTTTTTGCTATTTTCGTTTAAATTTTATATCAAAACGTAAAAAAAAAAAACAAGTCACCCGATGATTTTTGGAAATTTTATCATGTCTAATTAAATCTAATAAATGTATTGTTACCAAATTTAAAATCTCTACGTGTATTTATAACCGAATAACAGCAAAAATCTCCCCTAAAAGCTCAAAGGTTTTAGAAATGATACCGTAAGAAATTTAGTCAAAAAGGTAACAAAAAAGGTAAATTTTGATTTTTCAATTAAATCATTTTTTCTGGTAGAAAACGTCGTCCGTATTTTTATAAAATAATGAAATCTTGAAATTATACGGTTTCCTACGTTTTCTTCCACTTAAATGCTTTTATTTAAAAAGTGGCATCAAAAATCAAAAAATGGCATGTTTAAAGTACAATCTACACAAGCTTTTAGAAAAAGTGCTACATGTTATACTCGATGCAAGTTTATTAGGAAAAAATTCGTCCACAGACTAGAACAAAGACAAAATAAAAAATAAAATTAACAGCATTGTAAAACCAATAGCTCCCTTGCTACACTTGAAATCTAAAATAAACATCTTTTTTAAAAACATAAGATTTTTCGCTCCACTCAGAATCTAAAATTCTGTCACGAAGGATATTGGTGCCGTTTTAATTATTCGTGTGGCGAAGAGATTTGAATCAAAAGGATCAGTGGATGTTAAAATTCTACACGTATGCTCACGGAGATGCGATGATGATTCTTATGCAAATGTTTTAAATGCATCACAGTTTTTTTTTTCATTTTGATATAGGTGATTGGTTTCTAGGTAAGACGGGCGAAGAAAACTGTGTGAAATCGATATATAACTAGTAGGTCGGTATATTGGCTTTAAAGAGGACGTAGTTTAGGGTCGAGTTGAGCATATGCCGCGTACTTTTATTGCTTTACTTAAACTTAGTACTTGTGAAGCGGGAACTGAATGTTAATATGTTTATCTAAAGTGGTTCCAAAATACTTGACCTGATTAGAACAGGGGATATCGAGTTCAAGTATTTCAATATTGGAGAGTTTTTTCTTTTTCATTCGTTCGTAAGCAACATTTATACTTATGGACGATTTTAAGTTTTTAAACACATTTTCAGAACACTTTACAGAGGTGTAGCTAAAAATATTTTTTGGGGCAGGCCAAATAAAATAATATTAATTTTTGAATAGGAAATACTACTAAGTAATACAATTTTTTTGATTTTAAAATTTTCCGAGAAAATTGGGTAATTCTGGGTCTACCAGGCTTATCCGCCACTGATACCTTATATAGTTATATCCTCGTTGTGTATTTGCTCGCCCGTATATATATAGTTACTAGACACAGTAAAAAATTACGGTTGTTTATTTGGTTGACAAGGCAATATAATATATTATTTATATCATTATTATTGTTATCACCTATAATTATAGTAACTATTAGTATTATAAATATAGGAATATTTTTACTAGTTAATATTAAAAAATAGTTACTTACTTATGTAAAACTGTATGTATTTTTGAAATGCCCTGTCGACTATGTACAAGTCAAGGTATTTTATTTATGTACATTTTATTTCTTCGCATAAGTATAATTTACTAGACCATCTTACCAAATTCTTTCGACATTGTACATCAAATTATAGTTAAACGTTTAATAATTAGAATACGTTTCCGGAAATTTTGTGCGCTAGCAGAATATGCTTTTCTAACTTGTATTTCTTTTACCAGCATTAGTTTTAAAACTTGGTAATTACAAGGGTTTTATTTTTTTTTGCACCAAAAATGTATTTTACTTTCGTTGTACATGTAAAAATATTATTTTTTCTTATAATTAATATGTAAAATGGAACTGGCAAAATCGTTTTTGCTGTTCAGTCGTCCATATTAAATCCACAGACCTCTGTATTATATTATTTTCTGCATGCCGATACGCTGGAGAGACTCTTCGATTTCGCAGACCGGAAATTAAGAAAATCTCGTATTATAAACTGAAGTATAAAACTGAAATATTATTACTCAAGTATACAATCGTATATAGACAAACACTTGACTTGGTCAATATTCAGTTGGTCTTCATGCAGTTATTCCTTTGAACTCATTACGTCCGCAGTTTAAAGTCCGGATGCTCGTTTTGTGAAGAAAAACAAATATTTAATAAATATTTCGTTTAAAATAATATTAACCAGTACCGTTTTGACGACGAAAATATAAAATAAAATCGAGTTTTTCTGGGCCACCCGCAGACGTCCGTCGTCGTGAAAAGAGCCCGCGCAAAGTACCCGCCAAACTTTTGTCACTTTCCATTCGGTTTTCTATTCATTTTTTTTTTCTTAATAATACCATAAGATAATAATAATATAATGTGCGGAACATAAAACCTCGGTGGAGGATTTCTTCTTAGAAAAGCAATGCGTTTCACGGACGTCATAGCGGGTCGTCGGTACGAAAATGTTAAAATATTATTATAACCGC